CATAGTTTAAAAGTAGAATCAATCGGTTGCTAAATGTTTTGAACAATAACTGGACATCCTTGATCGAAATAATGATCGATAAGTGGTTGATCGATCAAGTTATCGATTATTCAGAGTGAGAACTTTTGACACAAGTAACTATGCTTTATCTATCAAGTGATGAATTATTGATTTATCGATCAAGTGATCGATAAAAGAAATAGTGACTTCATAAAGGTATGCAGAGAAAAGGAAGCTCAAGGTCTCTTTTGATTCTAAATTTCTTTAAATAGAGAATTAAGACAAACATGAAGGCTAAGAAAAGCTTGAATGAAATATACAACATATTTTGAGAATCATCACAATTGATTGAAGTTTTACTAAGATCAGTCCATGATCGAACAAGTGATCGAACACTTGTTCATCAATCAGGCTATCGATAAACAGAGTCATATGGAAATACATTTTAAAGGAATAATGATCAAACACTTTATCGATAAATGGATGATGGATAAACTTATTGATAAAGAAAAATGTACTTAGTGAAAACACAAACTGTATAAATTATCAAATAGATGATCGATTACGGAATGATCGGTCACGTGATCGATAAAATAGAACAAAGAGATTTAGTCCTGTAAAGATAAAGAACTGATTTGTCGATCACATTATGTGAAAAAAAAGAGCATACATGTAAACGAGTGATCGATCATATTATCGATAATTGGATTATTGATCAGGTGATCGAAAAACTATGATTTAAAGATAAGATACTGATGATCGATCATTTGATCGATAATTCACTGATCGATCAAGTGATCGATAAGCCACTAGGATAAAAGCCTGCATATAGAGTGGGTTATAAAGCAGTGTTTGATCACGTTATCGAAAAATCATTGATCAATAAAGTGATTGATAAAAGGTGATTAAGACAAAACATAAAGTGAGTAGAATGCTTTACTATTTATCTGTCTTCTCATCAATGACCCATTTATCGATTATATGATTGATAATTCCTTACCAGACTTATGTCCTATTATCTGATAGTTATTCGATTATTTGATTATCAATCAATTGATCGATAATTTTCTGCAGACTTTTACACATAACTGAGTTAACAATGATCGATCAATTGATCGATCAATGCATTATCTATCAAGTTATCGATCAAAGTTTCTGCTAGGTTACTTATTTCTATAGAGATATTATCTATCAAGTTATCAATAAATCTTTGATTGATCAGGTGATCGATCAACACACTAAAACACATATTCTATACTTTGTTATCATCAAAACCATAATCCTAACAATCAATGGTTAGGGGGAGGAGGTTTTGATGTTAAACCTAGTTAAAACACTTTGATTCAAGGTTATTTCAAGTGGTGTTAAGTTGTTTGAAAGATTTCATGGTTGGTTAACAAGGGGTACTATTCAGCCAAAGTGAAAACTATAACCTAGGATAAGTTTTTCATAGTTTTGATGCTTCTATTGTGTTTAAAATGGAAAATGGTATAGAGTAAACCTAAAGAACACACATTGGAAGCATTAGAATTAAAGTTGCGATTTTTGGAAAACTAAACCCCCTACTCGGCCAACTACAATTCATAAGGAAGGAGTTTTTTTTTTCATGAATCTAAGTTCATGTTTGGATTCTACATTAAAAACCATGTAGGATTGACCTAAGAAAGGAATTTTTAGGTTAAAGAAAACAAAGCTCCAAAATTCAAAGAATAAAGGGTTAAGGGTTTACTTAAGTTTTGCCATTGATTCTTGTTGGTTTGGATTGTAATGTGGCTACCCTTTTGTACAATGTGATGTTTAGGATTTGATATTTGTGGAGAAAGAGAAGAAGAGCAAAGAAACAAGGAGCTATTGGAGCAAGGTAGCAAGATTTAATTAACCACCAATATTGACATTTCATTGTTTATTATTACATGGATGCTTGCTATTATGTGGGTGAACTATGATGATTGTGATGTGGCTGCTCCTTGCATTTTATTGTCTTGGCTTTTTCATGTTTGATATTACCTAATTATAAGAGAATTAGTTCTCCAATGGTAGCTAATGTTGATATGTATAATGATGATGCATGCTTGATGTTATCGTTGATTATTCTTTCTATTGGGATTTCATTGAAATCTCATTCTTTCCAAATGTAACCTAACCTTTTAGGGGCTGAGTCATCCAAGAAGCTGCAAATTCAAGGGTAAATGTGGTGTTGAACAATGGGAAACAATTATCTTTTGGTTATGTATAAGTATGCATGCTTAGTTGTTGTAACCCTAAGTAGACTGTTGACTTGGAGCTGCATGTTGACTATGCTACCGAACGAATTTAATCACAAAATTTGGCATGCTTATAGTTCACGTCCTGAGTTTCAAACCAATAGGTAGCACTTTAAAATTGGACATCAGTACGATTTATAGTGATTTTTCAAAATTAAGGTTTGAAATTTGGGAAAAAGATTTTTACCAAAGTAATAGTGGTAACTTCCCTAAAAATTTGGCACTGATTCAAAAGGAATTGGTTCACAAGATTATTTTTTCTTGAAAGAGCATTCAAAGAGCTTTCTATAGAACTTGGAAGCACTCCATTTTGGTTTTTCTAGAATAAGTTACGAAATTTCAAAGTTGGACAGAAAAACTAAATTTTTATCAAATGAACAGTAATTTTACAAAAATCAGTATCCAACCTATGAAATTTTGAGTTTAAGACCATTTAAAGTGATCCAAAATGGTTCTAATTGGACTCTAAGGTATCTAAAAGTAAGGTGTAACAGTTATAGGTTTCAATGCCACTTTAAGTGAATCAATGGATGCACTTGGGAGTGGTGGCCAAATTAAAGAATTGGAGCTTAAATTGTAAAAGATCTTTAAGAAGTCACCTGATCATCTAATAATCCGAAGACAACAATTGTTCTTAGTGGCCAAATCAAATAATCATTTTTCATTAATAAAACTAATGGTGTGAATATTAAGGTAATAAAATTAAACTTTCAAGGCAAATTTGCTCTTAAAAAAAAAAAAGGGATACCTAGAGCCCTTAAGTAAAAATTTTAGGAATAAATTTGCACCTTAACTCATTAATAAGTTGTCTACTTAAAAGTAAGGTAAACTTAGGATACTGAGTGCGCATGCAAAATATACACACAAGCTACTCCTCTTCTATCTTTAGTGTTCACTTTTGGAGTATATTTTTCTTTCATTTATACTTGATACAATGTAATATTAATTACTAATGTCTCAATTTTTTCATCATAACTTACATGCTTATTATACCTTGCAGAATTAAAATTCAAAACTTCATGCTTAAGGAAAACTCAGGAAGATTTTTAATGTCATTAGGCCACACAGACTAGACAATTACTATTATTCCAATTGTATATCGTCTTTTTGAGCAAACAATTTTGTATATTATCTTCCTCAATTTTATTAAAATGGAAGACCACATTAATTAATTACTACTTCAAGTTCTTAATATAAGAGTTAGTTGGTATTTAATTTGATCTCAATATAAAACATCAATTCATTTTATCTCAAATATTTATCCTTTTTGTGCCTAAATAATTCTTATGGTGATTGCACATATTAACAAGTTTCTATTGAGAAGTATTTTTAATAAACATGATTAATATGAGTATTTTAAGGAAGATGATATCTATTTATTACAAATGACTAACTTAATTAATTTATGTAATATTCACAAATTTGGTTATTTAATTCTTATATTAACATGAGGTAGAACCAAAATAGATTAAGGAAACATTAACAAGGTTTCAAATGTTTTGACATATTTACTATTATCACCCGTCTCTTGTTATAAGATTCAAATAATCAAATTATGTTGTTTAAAAAAACTATTAAAATTAATTAAAAGTAATAAATAGGTAGAAAATATATTTTTTTTCCTCCTTCCAAATTTGTCTTTATTTATAAATAGGCTAGTGAGAGTGAAAAAAAAGAAGATGTGAGAGAATGTATGGAGAAAAAATAATAAGAGAGAGAGTATTAATTAAGGGCAGAATGGGTAAAAATGTCTTGGCCAAAAAAAAGTATAAAGATGCATTTAATATTTAGACACATCCAAAGTGATTATAATAAAAAGAGAGAGATCAATTTAGAAATTTAGATATTATAATAATGGATGGATAAAATATATTTTTAAGTGGGTTAAGGTATAAAATATTTATGAAATATTCTTACAAAAAAGTACTTATGAAATATTTCTCCATGCCTATTTGGCATCATAAAATTTACTTAAATGCAAAAATATAAATAAATCTTTTAAAATAGAGAAAAACTCTCATTTTAATTTACGATAGATACAATTATACCATTTAAAGAGTGAAAGAGAAAGCGCATTGACTATTAACAAAGATTAGATTTTGCTTTGTTTTGGAAGATTCATGTATAATGTACCTAAATAAACTTTGTTATATTAGATATCAGCATATTTTATGAGAAATTTTGTACCTGAACCTATTTTAAAAATTTGCACCTTAACCTATGTAATCTTAAAATAGAGGTAAAAACAAAAAGTTAAAATATACATTTAATTTTTTAATTTTATAAAAAAATTAAAATTTGATTTTTTAATTTTGAAAAGTATAATTTTAGTTTTTTATCCTAAAATTGTTAACAAAAAATAATATCACTGAAATATTAAATATTGATAAAATATTCTTTAATACTAATATATTAAATTTAAATTTTAAAATAATCATAATTGTTATAAAAATTACTGTTTAAATTTAATAATTTAAGGATTAAAAGACTAAATAAATATTTTTTTCGATTAAGAGATTAAATTAAAACCTTGTATAAAAATTAAAAGAGTTAATGGACCCTTTAAGCAAAACAAAATATTAAAACTTTTGATCGAACGGTCATAATTGAAAGTAAATTCGCCACCTGACCAATGGCTGAAATAGATTCGTCGTAATTTGGGGAATATTTTTTTTCCGTAATTATGACGCGGAAAGTATCTTTTTCCCGAGAGGAGTGCCAAAGCCTCGAACGGAAAGAAGTAGAGCCAAAATTTATGGCAGGTGCCATAAACCCTATTCCCCAAATTCCCAGTGTTTCTGAACGGCGTAGACATCATCATGAGAGGCACCAAGCGTTTTGCTGCGTCCGACCCCAACTCCGATAGCAACGAGACCGCCGTAAGTTAATTCGCAATTAGCTTATCGTTTTTCCTGCTCTGGAATTCATGTTTGCGAAGTAGCTTCGGCCTTGAAGCTCCAGCTGCATTGGAATTTCATTTGTGCTTTTGTTCCCATTGGCTTTGGCAACTACCACTTTGATACTTACTTGCCATGGCTTGACATTTTTGTTCTCGTTCAACTTCTTGGGCCTTAATTGCAAAGAAGAATTTTTTCGTGAAAGTGTTCAACTATGAGGACAAAATGCTAATTGGTATTTTTTTTTTTAAAAAAAAAAAGAATTAGGATTGAGTGTCCTTGGAATGGTTTTGAAGTCCTTCTAATTGGCACCTAGAGTTTATCCCTTTTCTTGTATTTCTTTTTTTTTTTTGTCTGAACAGCTGGTACTGACATTCGAGGAATGGTAGATAGAGACTAAGAAAACCAAGTAGTTGAACCTTGCATATAAAACTGAACAGTCATCAGATGATGGTGTTGGACATGCGATTTTCTGGAAAATATGGTGTTAGAATGATGTGGATTGATCATGAGATAGAGAAAATTTTCATTTGACTTTAGCACAACATTTACCTGAACTGGCTTTCTTGGGGTGCTTGTGATAAATCTATTCATAATGTGTTTCTGTTGGGTTTTCCCTCTTTCGCTGATGCTAGCCTGTTTATGTTAAATTGGGCTTCATGCTTTGTGACTCTCTATTGAAACTTATTATATCTTCACTTCGAATATAATGCAGTTCCAGAGTAAAAGAATAATGGAGGGATCTCCTTTTGGTTTTCTTAGGGCAGAACCATCCCAACCACCAGTGGTGACAACGCAGCCATTGGATATGAAACGGGCTGAGTCATCACAGCAGCATGTGAGAGCTCTAAATACTCAGTTTGCAAGGTCCATCCTTTTTTCATGTGATCAAATTCGCTTTTGCATGCATTTTTTTCTTTTTGCGTGCGCGCGGACACACATTTATATTCTCTTTGCAGGATGAAAAAATCCTCATTGTACTTTGAATTCAGCAATTATGTCATCTAGTTTGGTGGCAATCATACAAGTTCATGTCTTATTAACTAAATTTCAGTTTGAAGGATATCATGTTCCTGACTTCCTATGGTTATGAATGTCATTGCCTGCTTACCCACCTACATGCATTACTCTTATTTCCCCCCTATTGATCTTCAACTTTATTAAGTTATTAACTTGTCTCATTTTCATGCTGTGGTTTTTCTTATGACTAGCTGGATTCAAACTCAACTGAAGAATCATCCAGATGAACTTTGGGAAGATGGTGTTAGAGATTACTTAACACATGCTTCAAGCATAATGGTAATTTTCCATATGATTTCATGCTCCGAAGTTGTATGAACTATATAAGTTGTATTTCTAATGTATTCAGCTGTACTCTATCACATGTCTGATTGAGTCCTGCTGTTACTGTTTTTGCTTGGTGCATTGCGAATTAAACTATGTAGGTGTACACCCTGACAGACATTCATAGTGTAAAACCCTTTAACCTCAAAACATTATAACCTGGTCATAAAATCACTACTATGGTAGAAAAGGAAATCTGTTAAAATGAACTACCATAGTAGAAAGAAATTTGCATATTTTTAGAAATTGACTTTCAAACTCGGGTCAAACCCAAACTCCGTTGCATGCAACTAAAATCATTCATTCATATAAACTAGGCCTCCGAGCCTCCGGCCCGGGTAACAAAACACATCTACATCAGCCCATATAAAATAGTTTCCAACAACGTAAATCAAAGTTCTACCAACAATAGAAAAGGCCTCCGGCCAACTAAAACGAGGAGATAACATATTCTCCAATTTACAATAAGATCAACAATCAGAATATCACAAAAGACCCTAACTGTGGCAATATACAACTATCCATACATAAACAAGGCTAGAGGCCTAAAGCTAACCAAGCTCAAGCCTCTGCGTCTCTTCCCGAAGGCGCACGCCTAGAAACTTCACCTGAAAACATTGTAAACCACGGGGTGAGACAAAGTCCCAGTAACCAACCTTTCCAATACTAGGTACTACTAAATAGGTGCTCGTGAGGTGTCAAGTGGAGCAGTTCACAAGTATTATGATAACAAGATAGCCACAACAAGTTATGCAAGTGCAATGCTGCAATTCCCATCAACCATATCCCTCACTTTGGGGGATTTTCAGAAGCCGAACCCGGCCTATCCCTCACTATGGGGGACGTAAGGAGCCATAAAAGGCCTATCCCTCACTCTGGGGGACGTAGGGAGCCAAAAGGCCTATCCCTCACTATGGGGGGGACGTACTGAGCCAACCATCATGCATTAATGGGGGCCTTACCACGTGGTAGTAACTATCAAAAACTCTCACCAATTCCCAATTCATGCATCATGCTCAAACCATAATCAAATAGTAATTGAACATTTCATAAATAACTTCATTTAGTGGCATATCCTTCACAATTTCAAGATTCATTCATCATCAATCAAAACTCCACAAGACGGTTTTCCTTTTTACATATACAACATACCATTTGAATATAATTGTTACTCAGAGCACAAAACATAAATCTACTCACAATACCACAGAAGCAAGTACTAAGGATTGGAAAATAGTTACCTCTCGCCTGAGCAAGGAATAACAAACCAACAATGTGGCCCTGTGCACCACCAAGACTCACAACCGGTCTACAAAAGCACACAAACACACAACCATCATGTATTAACTTTCAAACTAATAATGTGGCCAAAACAACACTTGGGGACACGAAATTCCTATCTCTCATCAAAACTCTACCCAACTCAAAGGGTATACTATCAAGGCAACACTCCATGGTCATACCAATCCATTAAAACCTTAATTCCTTTCCAAACATCAATTAAAATTCAAACCTCAAGGACCCACTATAGGAATTCAACACCCAAACATCCCATTTGAACAATTGAGGTTCTAACAACAATCTAAACCGATTAAACATCCAATTTAACCCTCCTTAACATAACCCAAATCACAAAACTCAGAATCAACATCTACATTGTCATCCTCAATCCCAAATCACCCATTTTTATAAACCCTAGCTTCAAAAACTCCAAGTTCTTTAAATCCAAGAAAACTGCACCGATTAAATACTTAAACTAACCCAAAGCAATCAATTAAACTCAAAACAATCTGTCAAAAACCTCAATTCCATCACAACTTAGAAAATCCTAGGGTTTCACCAAAAATCCTCAGAAATCCCAAGAAAGAAAGTAGATTAGAGGTTAAAATCACTTACTTGAGATAATGGATCCTTAGAAATGCCCCTTCCAAGCCAGAAATTCGAAACCCTAGCAGAGCTCCTCTCTCCTCCTTTAGATTTTCTAATTTTCGCACACTAAACCCCTCCTGCGACTATATAGATTCGGGACCTTTCGCCGCGGCGAACTAATCCCGAGAGGGATTACTCGCCTGAAAACCTGACTTCGCCGCGGCGAAAGCTTCCCGAAAGGAAACTCTCGCTCGCCTAGAAAAACTTCGCCACGGCATGCCCTCACCTTTGTCGCGGCGAAACATTCCCGAAAGGATACTCTTCCCGGAAACTCCCTGTGAGCCGTGGCGAAGTTTTACTTCGCCGCGGCGAACATACCCTGAGTGGGGTACGTTCACCTATTCCTCCAACATACCTCAAATCCAACCCAAACACCAATATCAAGATTAAATCACTAATCTATCCTCAAAATCAACCAAAAGAGGCTATTAAAACCCGATAAAACTCAGGATGTTATACATAGTATATATCTGTGATGTTAATTGTAGACTTGTGGCTGGATTTGCAAGTTTCAAAGTTATATTCTTCATTGATTTAATATACAAGTCAATTTCATCTTTGACTTATGTGCAAGAAAGAAGTTGGACAGCGTTGATTGTTAAGAACTAGATATGGTTCTGTGATTGCAGAGTAGGAAGAATGAGTTGCAGTGTTCACAGCTTTTGAATACTGTAACTTGTTAGTTTATATACTATATTTATTGACGATTCCTTATATGAGACATCTGCGCGGCTTATGGTGCCAACTTCAGAAAGATTGTTTTGGTCAGAAGCTAGTCAGTTGTCTGATTGTGGAGGGAACATGAAAGTTGTTCTACCCCTATGTTGATAATGCCCGAGAAGCAGCAAGATACTATACATGGGTTGAAAGCTTTGCAGAATCAGACCTGGAAAGGGTCATTTATGGTTCTTGAGATACTGCCTGTCTATTTTTGTTCTACGATGACATGGAATGTGTCTTGTTAGAAAGCATGTATTTAACTATTTATTGTTTAAGGCATCCAATAAATTAGATGTTCTTACTTTCCTGCCTTTCTAACCACATGGTACAACAGGGGTTGAGACTGGGGTAATTAAAGAATAGGTGTTGATCTTTTTGTGAAAATTTGTTTGCTGCTTGTATAGTTTGAGCTAGTTTTGGCAGCTCCATTGACTGAGTATCATGTTGCCATTGAAGCACATTAAATGTTAAGCACATATACCATGTACTGTTTCAGGAAAAATTTAGTGATGTTGTCAATTGGATTAAATCCAATGCTGTCAAGGGAGAGAATTTGCCTCCTGCTACAAATTCCCTTGCTGCAAAGAAACCGTTTCCTGAAGTGGCCAGCAAGGAAAATAACATCTTTGGACAGAAAACTGTGTCCCCTCCTGTCAGTACTGCAACAAATTCTACGATTTCATGGAACCCTCCTGGAATGTTTTCCAACAATCAAACCCCTGTTTTATTTGGTAGGTTTCTAAAGATTTTCCCATCGCATTCCTCACAAGGCTGTTTTTTGTGAATTAGGAACTCCTTGGGATCATATTGGTGATTAGTCAACATCTTCAATGCATGCTACTCCCAAGAAGAAATTGTTAAAATTGTAAAATTTGATCATATGATTAAAAATTGCGAAGCTTAGATCATTCAATTCCATTCTTTAGTCTATATGAATTATATCTGCTCGTCTGGAATTCTAATGATGGGAAGTAATTTTTGCAAAGCAATAAATATTATGATCCATCTATTTTAGAGCAAAACTAATTATTTATCTTTTGTACAAATGCTCATATCAGATCTAGAACTTCAAGCCGCATTTGCATTTTAATTTGTAAAACAAGATAAAGGAAACCTTAGTTGTCAAGTATCAAGGAAATTGACAAAATTCACCTTATATGCTAAGTGAGCTTTTCTCTCATCAATTCTATTGTCGTTCAAAACCATAGCATGAACTTTAGCAGCACATTATGTCACTGTTTTATTTTGAGATTGACTGCTGAGTCTCTGCTCTCACTTTTTAGGGAATCAAAGTTCTGCTCTTTCTAAAGGTGATGCTTCTGATGATGTGGATGAAGGTTAGAATTGTATGCTGTTGTTCTTTTTACTGGGCGCTTTCTAGTTCGTTGTTAACATGTTTGGCAAATCTTCTTCTAATTCTTGGTGGAGTCAATAACTGTCTGACCGACTATTGTTACTGTTGTGCTATATGCCTGTATGGATATTAAGTCATAATGTAGGTTTCTTTTGTTATATATACGATGCTTGTGGCGAGAGAAAGCCTATACTGAGAAAACAATGAGATTATTGATGGACGCTATTTATAACTGAACGAAGTTTTACAAGCCATGAAGGAAAGAGGGATACAAAGGCAGAGCAGAAAATGGACATTGAAACTTTAGTAATTGCATATCTCTGTCGAGTGTCAACTGCATGCTTACATCGGAGTTGTCAAGGCTTATAAAATAAAATATGTACTTACAGAAAAGTGTAAATGAATACTCAAATGTACATACATCAAGTGTAAATGAATACTCAAAATAATAAATTTAATATAATAATTTACTAAAATATTTGATTTTGAGTATTAAAATATTTACAAGCCCAGTAATGCATTTGTAATTAAGTGAAGCCTAATTTTTGTAATTTAAGTACACTAGATGTTTGGTGTTGTGTGCTACCTTGGGAGCTTAGAAAAATGATGGATCTTGTGAGTTTGTTGCTGATTCATAATTTAAGAATGTCATATTGGTGTTTCTTGCCCCATCAGAAAGATGTAAACTTTTGCGTATTTTTATTCTTCTTAATACCATTTGCTCTATTGATGATGTTATTTTGTTGTCCCCAATAATTTTCTTACCGTCTGCTTCCGTTTTTGAGATTGATGATAAAATGAGACATTTATAGGATGGATCAAGATATTTGAATACTTGATTTTTCCATTTATTTTATACGTTCAAGTATCACTTGTGATAGTTACCAAAAGAAAAAAGTTTCACTTATGATGGAGATGTTGACATCTGTAAACTCTTACAAGGTTACACCTTGATGGCATGAATGACTCATCTGAAAAAGGAGATGATTAATAAATGGTCTTCGTTTTGTTACAGAAGATGAATTGAAGCAGCCTAGCAGCCCATCTGTGAAGAAGTCAGAAGAGAAGGGAGTAGTAGTTGTGCATGAGGTGAAGTGCAAACTATACGTGAAGGTATTACTATAGACTACATTATATGATGATCCCAGTGTAAAGTTTCTTTCTAGCATATACGTTGGATGAGTCTTTGCAATGCGCTTTTAGACTTGTGGGCATGTATTGCTTTGACTTGGTTTCATGATGTAATGACAACAATTGTGTCTTTCATCCTTAATATGTGTAGTCAACCGATCCAGAAGATAAGGACGTATGGAAAGATAAAGGAATGGGGCAATTGTCCATTAAATGCAAAGAGGGCTTCAGCAAGGCCACCAAGGACTCCAAGCCGACTATTGTTGTTAGAAATGAGGTTTGTTCTTTTAACCTTTTTCTTATTGGTCATATGTTGTTATCTTTAAAAGTAATTGATGCAAATGCAAATTCTGTTTTTCCCCAATGAATTCATGTTTCTAGTTTCTAATTATTTTACGTCTGCTGATGACAGGTCGGAAAGATCCATCTTAATGCTTTGCTCTATCCGGGCATTAAGACAAATCAGCAAAAGAACTCCCTTGTTGCGATATTCCATACTTCGGTAAGGAACCCGGGTTGAAAAATTGCTCATTATGATGCATATGCAGATGCAATATATAAATTTGAATTAGCAGAGTATTCAAAGAGAATTCCCCCCGGGGGGGGAGCCCTTGTCCCTTGTTCCTCCTGCTATTACGTTTCTGACATGATTGATCAGTTTGCTGTTTTTGCACCACTGCGAAACATCTGAATCAGGGAAAAAAATCAGGGAACGGATGTCCTTCTGTTGGGGGAAAAAACAGATATGCTAAAATATTAGCCTTTTATTGGTTTTGTTTATACGAGAACGGTTCCTGACTGCTTATATTATATGTTATCTTGTATTCTCAATAGTTTCCACCTATTTAGGTTCTCTACTCTCTGAGCAGCTTCCCTGCCCTTCATCTTCATGTGCTTGACTTTACAATGAAAAACGAATGAGTCCTGAGATTTTTGCAGGATAACGTGGATGGGGGTGGGGGAGATGAGAGTGTCGTCGCCCGCACATTCTTGATCCGACTGAAAACGGAAGAAGATAGGAATAAACTGGCATCGGTTATCCAAGAATATGCCCCTGAATCTTGAGGTAAAAATGAGGCTCTGGGACCAAATATTGTGTTCCCTTGAACCTTTTGTTGTAATGATAGACTGATCTCCAATTTTCGCCCTTGCAAAATCTAATTTTGTTTTTTCCCTTTTCTCTATCTTGGGATGCCTCGTTAGCTAGATCCTTTGTTGCAGAACCACCATGTGTTTTAGAGGATGCTGCATATGTCCCATAATTTTTTCTCCACTTTTTTAAGCATGGATCCATGTTTGTCTCTCTCCTCCTTCATAGATTCATACCAGTAATAAACAAGGGTGAAACTGGCAATTAAGCTCGCTGATTATTACTGGGCGATTCCTCTTCACTAAGCTCATATTGCTCGTGTGTTGGCAGATCAATGATAAATATCTAAATTTGTTAATATCTTGCTTTTTTTTTAATTGTTTAAAAATGCTAATACTATGGTTATTAGCTTTCGCTTTGTGTAGTTATCAAAATAGTACAAAGTAATAATGCTAAGGTTCATTACGAAGGAAAGAACTCTGAGCGACGTGTCACGCATCGTTTTCATTTGTGCTAAATTAATTAGAAATATTTATATTGGGTTCACATGGCAAATTTGTTTTTTAAGTGTTTACGATATGTTATGATTTTAATGGTTGTATTTGTTTTTTGATAGTAGCGATTAATGTTGTTATAATTTTAAATTTTCGAGACGTTTGCATTCTAGAAAACTGTTGGGTGCCACTTGAATTTTTCTAGTTTTTTATAAAGCAAGTACTTTAAATTTGTTTGGATGAGTTGTTGTCCAAGTCAATGAAGCCCAATGAGAATAAGAACCTGCAGCTGAGAAGAATTTCGGAATTAAAATTAAAACAAAGTACTAAAGATAGTACTACCTCCGGTCTTAATTATAAGAACTAGTTGACTAATTTAAAAAGATTAAGAAAATAAGTTAAGTTAGTTATTTGTAACAAATAAGTAGTCTTTTCTAAAATATCTTTGCTAATCAAGTTTATTGGTTAGAACTACTATTATTAGAGATATTACTTTAGGAAAAAATACATAAATTTAATAAACAAAGTGGATTGAGGTCTTATAATTAGGACTAAAATAAAAATCAAATAAGGTTTTATATTAAAGACCGTAGGTAGTATTAACTTTGTAATTTAAAGAGAGAACTAATTTGGAGGTGCTAATAGTTTCTTTTGATTTTGAATTAGATCCTTGTGTGTGTGTGTATATATATATTGACTCCTTAAAATTTTCACTATCAGGCATGTTAATCCTTGCTGTTAAATACTACCTCCGGTCCTAATTATAAGACCCAATTGATTTATTTGAAGAGATTAAGGAAGTAAGTTAAGTTAGTTATTTGTAATAAATAAGTGTTGTCATTCCTAAAATGTCCTTGCTAATTAAATGTATTGGCTAGAACTATCATTATTAGAAGGACTATCTTGGAAAAAATACATAAATATGAGAGAAAAAATGGATTGGGGTCTTATAATTAGGACCAAACAAAAAGTCAAACAGGATCTTATATTAAGGATCGGAGGTAGTAAGTCCTAACACCATTAAATATCTTTGATAGAAAGTCTAAAGCATCTCCTATCTCTTACCCACTCCATCGCTCATTTCCCAACATCTTCTTCTTCGCCGCCCAGCATTACCACTATTTGGAACCTCCAGGGCTTGAGATCACTATGTCTACTTCTTCCTCAATCAATAAAAAAATTGTTTGACCTTCTATTTTAATTGGTTTGCTCTTTATTTTTGCCCGTTAGAGGCGCCTTGGTTCTGGGCAACGCTACGAATATTGGCAATAGGTTAGTTGCTAATGAAGAGAAAGCCTAGCACTAGTTTAGTAAGTATTTTAATCAAACACTACCGCTGATGTTGCCCAAATGAAGATTTTCCTAGAATGATGTTATTAATAAAAGGAGTAAATAGATTTGCTCTGAACACGAGGAAAACACTTTTAGATAATACTTAATATAATAGAAACTTGGGTAAAACGATAACACCGTGGATGAATTTTTATGAGATTCTTTTCTTTTTATAGTATAAGAGGCATTATTAGACACTAAATGTGGATACTTCTCCTATTAGGAATTTGAATCTTGGTCATCATTATGGGAGACTGGTTGCTTCTACTAGACCCAACCCTTTTGGTTTTTTTTTTTTTTTTTTGTTTCCATGGATTCTTAATCATTCAATTGGCTTTTCCCAATCCGACAACATGTGTTGCTCTTGGACATGATACTAATATAGACAACCAACCTTCAATTTTTGCTGGAGAATTTTAACCAAGTCCCAAAAATGAGAGTTAATTAGCCTAAAGTCCGTCAACAAGTGAAGAGTAAGCAATGTCAAATTTCAGAATAGGGAATAATAACAAGTTTAGGCTGATCACTTGTCATTAACTGTTTGGATGGGAAGAAAAGTTGAGAGGAAAGAAAATAAGAGGAGAGAAAATAGAGAGAAGAGAAAATTAGAGAGAAAATATTATCATCTCTCGTATTTGGATAGACAAGAGAAAATAGAAAGAAAAAAAAAGTAAATATATGAATGACTAAAATACTTTTTCTATTATATCAAAATATATCCTGATTGAAATCAAATTAAATATCATAATGAAAAACCATATTTACATTGACATAAGCATATAATTTAAAATCAAATTATTTGATAAAGATATATTATCATGTTATTATATTTTAATATCAAATAATTTTGTAAAAAAAGGAAAAAAAACATTTTATGTAATGTAATGCTAAGAAAAACCAAAACAACAATTGTACTTGTTTTTCCTTTCAATTCATTTTAGAATGATTTTTTCAATTTTAGTTATTTTATTTTTTAATCAAGCAAACATAGAAGAAAGATTTGATAATAAATAAAGTGAAAAAATTGAAGAAAAGAATAAATAGGTATTATTTGATAAAAAAAACAGATGTAAGGATAGAGAGGAAAAATATGTTTTCTTCCCATTTTCTCTCATATATGAAGAGAAAAGTTGGGAGAAAAATAGAGTGTGGGACCCATTTTATTTTCTCCCCAACTTTTCTTCCCTCATCCAAATAGGGGAAAAACCACTTCTCCTCCCATTTTCCTTCCTCCCTCATTTTCTTTCCATTCAAACATAGGACGTTTTAGTAATTGTCCTGACTGTCTTTGTACCCTTACCTCCTTTATCACTAAGCGATCATTTAGGGGCTTTAGCTGGTGATCTGGGTTGTTTCCTTCTCGACGACAAAGCGTATCATTATTATGATTTCCTTTTTAAGTAATGTAAACAATGATGTGTGTGCTCAAAAGGAGAGGGAAAAAAACCAACCTCCTTCATAATAATGGTAATAAAAAGTGATACCTTCGCGATAATAATCTTCTAATTAAGATTCAACAGGTAAAACAAAAACATGCTTATTATTTTAAAATAATTTCTCAAATTTTCTTTTAAAATTTTGGCAGCGACTTTTAACTTTCATTGTAAAAGCCAAGAGGCACCTCATGCTGCATGTAGTATGTGTAATATAGATCACACAATCACAACAACTAACTCTCTAAATATATCATTTACTAAAATATTTTGTTTAATTATTATTTTATTATTTTATAAAAATAATTAATTTTAACTAATTTTTTAATTTATGTGTAGTATTTTTCAGGAGTATATAGAAAGAACTGTAAGGAATAATTTATTATATGCTAATTTTAAGTAATTTTGCTAATTTTAACATTCCCGCGTTGTTTTGATGAGATAAACATTGTGGGAAGCTTACTTTCATGTTGGTTATACTAAATAATCGCCATAGAACGTGATTTTCCATCATAAAATTAGTAAAATATTTTGTTTAATTATAAAAAAGTTTCTCTTAAGACCAGCATGAAATGTTTTTTATGTAGCAGTGTGCATACAGCATATGCAGTATAGATCACATAAACACTACAACTAACCCTTTAAATGTATCATTGACTAAAATATTTTGTTTAATTATTACTATTATATTATTTTTATAAAAATAATTAATTTTAACTAATTTTTAATTTATATATAGAGAGAGTAATTTTTCTTTTATGTTTATTATCTTTTTTTTTTTTAATAGCAACATCGCATTAAACTAAAAAGAGCATAACACGGAAACCTCCATAACATGACCTAGATATTTTGTCCTAGATATACTTTAGCCTTATGCTATCTCTGGTCCTAAATATAGAACCTCATTTATAGTCTATAAATGAGGTCTTACATTTAGGATCAAAGGTAATAGTTTCTAAGGGATTATGTATGAGCAATGAAGTACCTTGACATAAGAGAATTTAACTAGATGAATGCACAACGCCAAAAATTTAGAATTGGGTGTAAAATTTTGCTCAGCTATGAAGTAAAGAGATTCATGAAGTGCCAAAAGCTGGATTTGCAGCTAACCAAGCATAGTAATACAAGATCAAGATGGAGGGCACTTCTTTTGATTACCTTTCTTTTTGGTGTCGACGTAGAGTTTCTCCAAGTGATTTTGGACTTGAAATTGTTCTCTGTTAGGGTGAGAGTGTCAAGGTTAAAATCCTCTCAACAAGTGTACTTCTCAAAATTCAAACTTATATTTTCCTCCTTATTGAGATTATTTTTTTATTTATAGTATGTTTGGATGGAGGGAAAACTAGGGGGAGGAGAAAATGGATTTTTTTGTGGGGGGGGGGTGGACAGGTGATATTATCTCTCCTTGTGCTTGGATTGAGGAGAAATGAGGGGGGATTAAAATATATCACAACTATAATAATACGGGAAAATTTTGTTTAAGGACTACAGTACACAATTAATCTCAAACTACCCCCAAAACTTTCTAAAACCTCACTGCAGGACCAAGGGGCCAATCTGATATTAATTCCACAAACAAAATGATGCTTTTGCCCCTCATTAAACTTCCCCTGAAATTTGAAAATAAGGGCCAAATACGATGGTCAGATAGTCCTCCCTCCCTCTCTCTCTCTCTCTATGCAAAGGTGATCCCACTGTGCAAAAACTCTTCCCTCTCTTGCTCTATGAACGTGGAACCACTCTGGAAAAACTGTTGCCTCTCTCGATTTGACAACGTGGTACTACTCTAGGAAAAATCTGTTGTCTCCCGCTTGCGAACGTGTTAGCATTATGGGAAGATTCTTGCCTCTTCCGATCTGCCAAAAGTGTTGGACGTGCCCCCCAAAAATTGTGTCACCCTCATTCTGCGGGTTAGTGGTAGTCACTACAACCAGAAGGAGAACAAGACGAGGCAGAGCAAGGAGGAAACCTACAAAGCTATTGACAAAGAAGGAAGAAGCAAGGCAAGAAGAAGTCACTGATTTCCTTTAGTAAGCTTCACGATCCATATTAAATGCAATAGATTTGTTCAATTCGGTTTTCACGGTAGGTTAAAGAAG